GAACGATGTTATATTAATGGACGAAAGCAAATTCAGCCTCTTCGGAAGTGACGGCAAGACTGTGGTTTGACGGAAACCTATTACTGAGCTGGAAAAATAAAACACCTGAGACCAACTGTGAGTGGGGAATCTCGTATTTATCGATTGCATAATGAACCAAGATCAATACCTGAAGATTTTGAAAGAAAACTTGAAGCAGTAGGCGGAGAGAATGGGCATTGACAGCACATTTAAATGGTACCAGGACAATGACCCCAAGCACAAGGCCCATTAGGTCAAGTCCTGGTTCCTTTACAACTGCCCAAAAGTATTGGAAACGTCGCCCAAATCCCCTGATCTCTATCCCATTGAGAATTTGTGGAGCTAGTTGAACCTCCGTGTCCAAAGGCCGATATCAGCCATATCGGACTTAAAGGAACGTCTTCGGGAGGAGTGGGCTTAAATTGGCCACCAATAACCTAAAAAAAAAAATTATTAAATGCCAAATGTTTAAGCGACACCATAAAAAATAATGGTTATCAACCAAATATTAGATTACGTTTATTTTCTGGATAAAATAGTTTTAATTTTGTTATTTAAGATGAAACCGAATATTAATTAATGGAACGAAAATACTGATTTTTTGTTGTTTATGTATGTTTTTGCTTTTATTATGAATTAAAACAATAATATTTATACCACTATGAATAGATAATAAAACAAGCTTCAGTTTAAATTTAAAATGTTGTTCTTTTGTTAAAACCAACAAAAACACTTTCTTCACGTTTAAAGTTGAAAAAAAAACGAATATTAATGTGATCCACTGTTACGCTTTTTATACCCTTGCAGAGGGTATTATAATTTCAGTCAGAAGTTTGCAACGCAGTGAAGGAGACATCTCCGACCCTATAAAGTATATATATTCTTGATCAGTATCAATAGGAGAGTCGATCTAGCCATGTCCGTCTGTCCGTCCGTCTGTCCGTCTGTCACTCTGTCCGTCCGTTTCTACGCAAACTAGTCTCTCAGTTTTAAAGCTATCTGCATGAAACTTTCCCAAAAGTTGTCTTTCTATTGCAGGTAGTATATAAGTCGGATCGAGCCGGATCGGACGACTATAGCATATAGCTCCTAAGAACAATCGGAAAAATAAATTTAAAAAAATTGTAACTTTGGTGTTTTTTTAATTTTTTTGTTAACCGATCAGACTTATAGTAATGGTTGACTATTTTAGAATTACGGTTTAAATTTTATCAAAATCGGACGACTATAACTTAAAGCTCCCATGGGAGCTTTTGTAATTTTTTTTTAGAAATTCTTTATGAATTATTAATAATTTGACAGTTCAAAATTACGCTTTTAATTTTATTAAAATCGGAAAACGATATCATATAGCTGCATTGGAACTATCAAATAAGTTCAAATAGCTTCAATTTAAACATAAACGCAAGTCAATCATAAAGTTAATTTTTCAAGAATGTTTAATTTTTGCAATAGCTGCAAGGGTACTACGGCTTGCCGAAGTTTGTTTCCTTTCTTGTTTTTTGTAGTTTTTTAGTTTTAGTTGTGAAGTTTAATTTTTTTTTAATGTATTTTTGTGTGTTTTTAAGGTAATACTGTGTAAAAATAGGTTGCCAAGTGCTGCCGATGTGTGCACAATATTCATTATACTATAAAAAAATATATATATAAAATTGATTTAAATTTATATTATTCCTTATTTTATGTTTAGGAGCTTTTTCGAATGAAAATTTAGCCGCATTTATATATTTAAAAAATGGTCTTCCGAGACAGGTACAAACCCAGTCAATCTTTGAAACTAAAAATAGAGAATGATGGCTAATCGTTAAACGAAAACAATCAATATTTTTGAAAAAATATTTTACAAGAGTCAACTATTTCTTTTTGAAAGAGAGGGTCTTGGGGGTGGCATTGGCCAACCAGGTCCAAATGTTTGTAAATAACTTACAGTTAAAATAGCTGCCTTATATGACCACAAGAAATGAATTATGACTGCTCTTTCAACTAAGAGCAACCACTGAATCAACCGTTCCTATAAAAGTTATATGATACAGTGAGACGATCTGTCCAATTTTTTAACACATGTTTATAATATTTTTTTTGGGTTTTTGGTGAAATTTTCAAAGCAATAGCACGTCTAGAAGTATTTATGGTCGCGGTCAATACAAGCCCGACCACTGTGGAATGTTCTCCTTATCCGGAAGGAAAATTATGGTATTGCCATGTCTTACTAGCTTTTGAGCTTTACAGTTGCTTGCGATGTTCCGGTGTCTGGCGGCCTTTATCAGGTTGATGCTAAACTGCGTAGCCATCTGGTGGAGAGTTTAATATTGTTTGAGAGTTTGTGATGGTCGCATAGATGGACCATATGGCAATCACTGTAGATGTTGATCCATCTTTTTTTAAAGTTGAAACTATTTACATGTATAAGTGCTTCTCTTATGGCATATACTTCCGTTTGGAAGACGCTGCAGTTATGGGGAAGTCTAAATGATTTCCTAATGTTGAGTTGATCAGAGTATATACTTCACCGCCGTTCTCTTGTTTAGAACCGTCAGTGTAGATACTGACTGCATTTGTAGGCCCCGGCTGACCGTGCTCCCAGTTTTTTCTTTGGAAAAGGATTTTAAAGGGCGTGTGACCATATTCTATTGGTTTGCAGAGATCCGTTTTGGTTAGGATCGAGTTGTCTTGCTGGAGAATCCTGGCGTGACCATATGATTGGGGTTTCCACTGTCCAATGTGTCTCAAACGAACCGCTGTTATTTTGGCCCATTCCATGGCGGCTAAGTCCAGACAAAGAAGTGCCCGACTCCATTTTATTCTTTTTTATTTTTGACTCAATAATTGTTCTCACGAGTTGCGGAGAATGCAATGCCAAGGTAGGAGAAATAAGAACAAGGTCTCGCCATCTCCCTGACCCCACCGTAATTACTAGATTTGGCAGTACTTTAACAAAATCTGTTTGTTTTTTTAATGTCAGAGTATCCAGTCCGAAGATATAGTGATCACGGCAAAACGCCTTTTTTCAAAAGAGCTCCCGGAGATTAGCTGTAGCTCATGTCCAAATAAATCTTTTTTCCAACACAGTCTTCAAATTGTAGACCGTTCGCTATCCGCTACCTGCGACCCGCATGGCCACACATCTTACTAGTTACGATAAAAAAAAATCACGTTACCGGTATAGGAAGTGGGATACGGACCAAGGAAATCATAGGATTGGAAATAAGCCTTAACACCATTAATAAACCCTGAGAATACCTGCGAACTCGTTTCAGGGTCTTCCAAGCCAAGGTTTCATGCAACTGATCACCAATTGCATCTTCGGTCCTTTGATTTTTTCACTGTTTCCTGTCGCGAATGAGCTCTCAAATGTCATTATAAAAATAGAACTCTCTAGAAGGTAACCTTTGCTGTTTAGGATTGGTAATATGTTACAGCCTCTAGTAGAGGTTATTATAATAATAAATTCTAAAGTTTTCTCAGAAAAATTTTTTCTGCCTTAGCATACAGTTTGACAAATGGACACGTAGTGCGGAGTTGCAGAATGCTACTATGCATATGACTGATGAAATTCATGTCTACACTTAATTTTTTTATTACTTTTGGCTGAATTCAAATTGCTCTCGCACAGAGAAAACTGGCGTTCAGAAATTTTGTTCATGATGATGGTGGATCTATATAAAAATTGTACTCCAACAAACTTCTAAAAATTAAAAAACCAAGCTAAAAATTACCAATAGTGACCAAAAAAAAAAATGTATTTAATAAAATATAAAATTTTTATCTCATCTTCAAATTGCAAGGTCATTTTTCTTTGTTCATCTTTCTCCCGACAAATTACTCAAAGTTCGGACTGAAGTTAACCAGCTTCTCACCGAAGCGTTCTAGATTCTGTAAAAAACTCAAACGTTCGTTCGGCCAACAACAAAATATGACCATGCAACAACGTCGAACATAACTCTACATCCTGGAAAAATCATGAAAGCAAGAACAGAAACCAAAAATATACACTTACCTTATTTTATTTATTAACGCCCTTCCCTTAGTTAAAAGTTCTCTGATGGTTTGCCGTGTTGTAAGCCGTAAAAAAACTATACATAACATAATTATAAATTATTCTTTATATCCAGGAGCCCACACGCGAAATATGGTTTTGCTTAGCACATTAACCAGGATGTAGAACCTTACTTTTTAAGGATTTGCCTATATTTGATTATATACCCGTTTCTCGTAGAGTAAAGAATATAAATTCTTGGTTAGGATAAGAACGGCTTGTGTCTGAATGTCAATTTCAAATTAAAGACCAAAAATCGCGAAAACTGTGTTGTCGTTGTATTTAAAGCCGGGGCACTTGACTATAGCGTCCTTTTTTGTAAATTATAAAATGTGGCATTTAGAGATAAGCCTTCAGAAATACTATACATTTTTGCCACGGCGCTTTAAAACTTCATTTTCCTGGGCTTAAAAAGACAGTTGAGAAGCCAGAAACGGCTGCAATAAGCATATGCATATGGCCGCAGAGAGAAACTAAGGTCCCGCGGGTATTAATTTTTTTAATTTATGGATCTAAAAGTTTATATAGTTATTAATTTGTTTGATTCTATGCGATCATTCGAAACCTTCATTAAAGTGACGGTTTTTCAAAAAATCGCGGGTCCTTCTGAAAACTGCGGGCCAAGGAAATTTTAAAAAAATTAAAAAAATAAGTTATATTTTTTAATAACTGTTACTAGAATAATTTTGAATAGAGTATTTTGCATTCGTTTAAGTCTACAAAACGATTACCAATCGTCCACTTAATCCAGTCTAAATAAATTACAAATTCGAATATCTTTATTTATTGACCATTTGTTTTTTCCTTCAAATAAGAACATTGTTTGAATTTTTTTGCCGTTTGGGTAAAGAATATTTCAATTTTATATTTATTTTTTCTTGTAAATAGCAGTTTATGAAAAAACAAATTAAAAAAAGTCTTTAAATATAATTAAAATATATGTAAGTGTATACAAACGAAAATTTGTTTGCATAAATCTGCCATTTATAGCTTTTTAAATTTTGTTTAAGTTTTCGCATTCGACTCTTTGAGTTTATATTTCTAAGATTAAAATGCAGTTTACAATCAAAAGCTTGAATACGAAAGCGTAATACAAGTAGCATTACGTCAAATTACGATGAAGAAACAACTATAGTGACTTCGTTACTTGTCTTGATGCTCAGGCATTCGTTCTGCTTTGCCGGTGATAGGTTGCTGCTTGTACATTCGGCTGGTTCGATTACATTTTCATCAGTCTTTAATCGTTTAGACTTGTTCTTTTTGTCGAAATCTGTGATTTCTGCAGCTGTATCTGGCGAAGCGCAACGCTTCAGTGTACTCTGATCAGTATTAACGTCTAAAGCCTTCTCATATGCCGTAATCGTGTTAGCTAACACATCTTCGGTTTCAGTTGGATCGATGGTAGTCTGTAGCTTTTGTAGCTTTTCCTGGAACTTGACAATCACAGCTGTCATGTTGTCGCAACCAGTCCCATCACCCATTGTATTTGGAGCTAAGCAGTTGTCAAAGAGCTAAAAGTTCCAACGGTTAATTATCACATAGTTTTAAATGGTACAGTATATTACCTCTTCACAAATTTTGGACAATTTCTTGCTTTTATCTTTTAATCTAATTCGTACAAAATCAACGACTTCCTCACTAGACATATAGTTCCAGATACCATCACAGGCCAATACCATAAACTCGTCATGTGGCGTGATAATTAACTTTTTGATATCTGGCAACGCAGAAATCATTTGTTCCTCAGCTGGAAGTTCAAGATTGGTTTTGTAGGCATGGTCTCCAAGGGCGCGAGACAAATTTAAGCCGCCATTAACACGGCCATCAAGAGTGACTCGACCACCTGCCTTAATTATGCGCGAGGATTCTTCTTCGTCTTCAGGCTTATGATCGAGACTCATTTCAATGGCTCTACCATTTCGGGATATGACACAGCGGGAGTCCCCTGCATTTGCAACGTACAGATCTCGACCATGCAACAAACAGACAACAGCAGTACATCCACTATCTTTGCCAGGTTCCTCAATCATATTTGCGCAAAAATTATCATTGGCCATCTGATCTTCGTCCGTCTCTTCCTCGTCACTAACTTCAACTTCCTATGGATACGTTTATCATAAATGTATGTCAAATTAGTTATGTGGTTATGACACTGAAGTGTTGGTCTCATTCATTGGCGGAATTCTTTAAGGCTCAGAAAGATTTAATTATACAGATATTACTTTAGATTTGTTGGTAATAATTTAAACTTTATTTTTAAAACAAGAACGGAAGCATACTTAAGCAAGCCAACGTTCATATACCCTTGCAGCTATTTCAAAACAATCTTGAAAATATTTAAATTTTGATTTATTTCCGTATATAGCTTTAAAACTGAGAGACTAGTTTGCGTAGAAACGGACGGAAACATAATTCCTATAACGTCTTAACAAATTCATGTCAGATCCTGCAAATGTTTTTCTTTTAGATGATTTTTTTACAACGCAAAAAAAAGAAGCATAAAAAATGTTACCGTTAAATCATAAAATAGCGCCGCGATCAATAAACAAATCCCTACCGAAAATTTTACCCGTTCGACAAAGTAAAAAATTTAAGTTAGTATACTAAGTTCCAAAAAGATGTGTTGGTAAATAAAAAGTATTAATTTGGTTATATTAAATTCATAAGAAAATATGTAAATAAACTCCAGGCTTCTAGAAACTTCAAACATTCTACGTGCAAAAACCTTATTCGCTCTAATCATTAAATTTTTGCATTTATAAAAAAATATCACGTTCATAAGAAAATATGTAAATAAACTCCAGGCTTCTAGAAACTTCAAACATTCTACGTGCAAAAACCTTATTCGCTCTAATCATTAAATTTTGGCATTAATAAAAAAAATATCAAATAGTTTTTTATTTAAGCCGGTACAATACCGGTAACGGTAGCATTTATTGGGTGAAGTAAGGTAACTGCAACCGAAATATATCATTTGAACCGCAACCGTAATTGAAATAGTTAAATTGGTTAACCGAAACCGATATTTAATTCGGCTTTAATCCCTGGTTTCAAGGTTTGCAGTTCTTACCTTTAAATGCTAACAAATATTTCTTATACATTATTACGTTTTCGAACTCAGCAGTCTTTAACTTTTTATATGCTCTAGAACTGAAATATTTTATTATTCTCTAGCTAGTACGATTAGTTGTGAATTAATTTCAAAAGAAAAATTAGTCATTTGTCACGCTATTGGAATAGTCATATGTCCGTCTTGTTCGCACTTACTTAAGATCGTAAGTCTAGGAAAAACTTGCTGCAATGAATGAGGCCAACAATGTAGTGTCATACCCCATTAGTAACTTACATCGTCATCGTCATCGTCATCGTTGGCAGCACTATCTTTTACATCTTCATCAGAGCTTTCTGCAGATGAAACATCAGGACTCTCAACCTGGTCATTTTCTTCGTAATCGGCATCGTCGTCTGTTGACTCATCTTCTTGAGAATTTGTCTTTTTTAGGATTTTTTCAGATTCTTTGCTGGTAGACGAAATTCCAGTAATAACGCCTTTTAAGGTTTGTGCGCTTTGATTCGCTTTGCCGATATCGTTAGAACCAGATACGAATGATTCTTGTGCATTCTTTTCTTCCTTTTGCTGCTTCCCCACTTCTGCTATTCTGGGATCAGAAGAAGTAACACTATCTGCCTTTAAAACGGACCCATTCGATTCCTGTTTTTTATCAAGAGTTAAATTTTTTAATGGAGCATTATTACTACTGCTCACAGTTGATTCGCCTTCGAGTTTTTGTATACAGGCAGCAGCTGCAGCTGCTGCTGCCGAAGTGGAAGATCCTTCTGGTTTAGCTGTAGGGTCCATTACAGCCTTATTAGCAGCTTCGGCTGCTACAGCTGCAGCTCGACGACCGCGCAAATAAGGAGAAAGCATTTTTAAATTGGCTTCGTTCTCGGATTTTTGAATGATCGAATCGTGTGATTGAGGAAGTCCTTTGTATTTTTCCAGAACTTCATTCAACGGCAAGTTGCTCTCCTCTTGCAATTCAGCTAAATCTTCATCATCGTAATCCTCCGCATCGGCATCGACAAAATTATGTTCACCTGCCAATATTTTTAGTATGCTGACAATCGGTGGATCAAGCAGCGTTTTATCAAATCCTAAAAATGCATCCTTGAGTGCATTTTCAAGTTGATTATTTTTATACGTTTCTAAATTTCTAAGAAACTCTGGCAACTTTTCGGCACAATATTGGGCTACCTCAGCACCGCCATGTCCATCATACACAGCAAAAAACGACGTGTTTTTGTCAAAATTCAAAATGGAGTTGTGTGCATCCTAAAATGTAAATAAAAACACTAACCAATAAAGCTGTTTGTGTAAGCAACAAAATTTTTATTGTTTACCTCTTGACTGTTTCTCCAGCCTTGCATTGAGCTGGCTCCCACTTCAAGAAACTCATTAAATTCATCTGTAGATGCTTTATCGGTCTTCGGATGCGACAAGTAGGCACCCATATTGTAAAATCAATAATCCTTATCCAAAAATGTTAAGAGAATGAGTGGCAATAGTCACGTTCCGAATTTCAGTATTGGTTGAGCGAAAAATCGATGCCAGCCCACGCACGCGTCTGGAGCATAAAATTGGATTCGCCGGCAAGACAATGGTGGCATGAATAAGTTGTAATTTTATTTCATTCTGTTATGAAAATAAATAAATATCAATTTTGTTATGTTTTAAAATTTATTACACAAGTTTTTGTCAATGTGTGTTGTTGCCGCTGACTTTTTCAATTATAAGTTCTTCGTCTACAGACTATGTATGTGCTTATGTATATAAACAACTTAATCTCTCATAAACTAAAATAAAACATTTTTCAACACAAATAAATTGTTAAATTCTAACCTTGTGACGCGCTGTATACGAACAAATCGAAAACGATCAACACCTTATATATGTGTACATATGGAAAAATATGGACATATATGTATGTACTTGCATTTAAATAATGGTAGCAATATTTGTGTTATATTTACCTAACCAATATCGGACTTATCGCCGAAAGTGGAACTTTGGAATATCTGGGTGGTAAAAGTTTCATTTTTCTTTGCTAAGGATATTTTTAAATGCCTGGTTCAGACTGGGGCGCATCCGCATCAATGAATACATGCTTTACAAAGAGGTGAATAAAATCGCTTTAACAAGGTCCACCCGATTAGTGTGCATTATAGCCCCTATTCACAGAGGTCCACCCACCTTCCAGCAACCGTTAAACGGAAGGTCCATAAGGTTTTGCCGTTCAAATAATGGCCCAGTTAGTCCACCGTTAAAATTTAAGAGAGTTTGATGGACTAATGTATGCGGTAGTTTTTTCGGTGCAACCCCCTTCCCACGCAGTCCACCGCTGGGAATAAAAAAAAAGTGTTACTCCGGTTTCCACATCGCACATCCACCATCAACCTTCGGTTATTAGCTGATTTGAACACCTGTAACTGTTAACAGGTAAACCATCACCTTTGTGGATGTGCTCAGAGGATATCGGGATTTCACATTTGGCAAAAATCCCAACCGTTTCCAACGGATGGTCTGTGTGGAAAGAGAGCAAAACGCATATCCTAAACTGTTAGCCACATACTTTGTTGAAAATCGTTGCTCAAAGAAGAGTAACCAACGAGTAGTTCACGAAAACCAAATTTACAATTTTGGAAAGTTTTAGAGAAAATGTCATATGTGGGTCAGCTTTCGGTAACCCAAAATCTAAATAATCACAAAAGGAGTTACTATCGAGTGCATTTAGTCATGGAGAAACTGGTGGACAGCGATTTGATTTCGTATGGTATAATAGAAAATGTGACCGGTTCCCACACACGTTATCGGATGGTCGATGTGTGAAAGGTATGTTCCACTTTCCTATTCTAAAGATGTTTCATTCTTAAACTGTTCTCAAACTTTCACTGAGAATAATTTCACAGACCACATCTTAGGTAAAAAATGTGTAAGTGATTTAAGTTCAATTCCAGAAAAGTATTTGGTAAAAATTAAAATTTTGTACACTGATGTACTTTGACGCACTTTTTCCCCACCTCTGTCTGCCTATACAAAACCTGTAAAAAAAAACTGCGTCTAACCACAGACGCAATGAAGCAACAAAAAAGTTTTTACTGAGAAAGTTAGGAAACCTCCCATTTGGGAATTGAGATATTCTTTTCTTTCTTCGGGTAGCATTTCAGTTTTAAATGCAAGTTGTGCATCCCTAAATAATAAAAGGAAACCTTGGCTCTGCTTCAGTAACTCCAGTGCTACCTTCTCAGTTATGGCAGCGCTGTCTTATCAGTAAGTCAGTTTTTTAACAAAGGTTTTGCTTAAGCAATTCGAGATGGAGAAAACTGCTTCTTCACTGTATCTTGCTACGACATATTGAATTTGATCGTTGTTTACTCGATATCTGGCATATAAATACACTATCATTGGTATAACAGCATTCTATTATTCATTCATTATGGATCAAGTAAAAGGTAAATATAATCCAAAATAACAACCAAAGAATGTATACTTTTATTTAACTATTTAAGTTTCAACAAACAACTTAAGCTTTATCTTGACATATCAAAACAGAGAACGGCTGTTCAGACGCAGAGAAGTGCTCTGTGGGACTAGGCCATTATCTGCGTACAACAATTTTTATAAAATCAACATTTTTTTAAATAAAGCATTTTTAAGCGGACTTGTAATATAAGGTAAAACGAGAGTTTCTAAAATCGTTCGACCTATGTAATATAATATATTTTGATATATTATGATTTACCAACTCTGCAACTATGCTCTAAATTTCGAACTATATTTTGAAATTTATTTATAGGAATTATTTTTCAAAAAGTATTGTGTTTTTTAAGTTTTAGCGTAGCCTAAAACCTTGTCAAAATTTTTAATAATTTTTAATAAGACAAAATCATGGAAACATAACATAAATAAGGTTAATTTTGGTTCAAAGTTCATACGTTGATGAAAGATAGCAAATCAAATAGTGGTTGATAAAAATGTAAGGTATTTGAACCTATTCTGTACTAAACATATTAACCATTAGTTAATTAAGGTGCAGTCCACACTACCAGCAGAAATTAGCGGAGATTCATGCAATATAATTATAGTCACCCATTTATTAAAAATAAAATACGAAAATGTGTTCTTGGGTATAGAAGCCAAAAATACTTTACCGTTTCCCAAATGTTTTAAAAATTTTGCACTGGTTATGTCTTACAACGGTTTGAATTTCTTACACAAAAATCATATATTTATGGCCTAGTTTCGCAGAACCCCATCTACCATTTAACATCTCTTTTAAAAATGGTTTAAGGTTTTTTGCGTGCCAAAAGTTTCCCGGTTATTCCTTAACGGTGGAATTAACGTTCTAACCGCAAGTTTCTGGCCGATAGTTAGCCGATGTTTAATACAGAGAAGAAATAAACCATTATTTAAATGTTTATGCCCTCTTTCAAACAGTCCATCCGTGGGAAACGGTTGAAATTTTTAGAAAATGTGATTTCCACAGCTGCTCAGATCAGCTGAAATCGAATGGTGGAAGGGTGATGTGCTTTGTGAAAATAGGATTTTCACTTTTTTCATAAATCCCAACGTTTTTTCAGGGATGGACTGCGATGGAATAGGGCAAAAACATCGGCTTACTATCGTTTAAATTAGTCCGTCGAAGTCTGTCTGGCGGACTAACTGGGAAGTTTTTGAAACGACGAGACATTATGGACCATTCCTTCAAGGGATGGTGGATGGATCTATGTGGAAATAGGCTATTAGGGAAAAAATTTACCAACTTTCCATGCTCCATATTTCATCGTCCCGCAATCGCCGCTTAGTTGCGATTAAATAGAGTCGATATACTTGGGTATATGTATTCTGATATACATATGTATGCAATAATTTTGTAACCCACTGTTGAATAGAGTTAGGATTTTGTTGATTTAATCTCATATAATTACGTTTTGAAATGGGAAAAGAAGGTAGTAAGTAAAAAACAATTTTTGTGAAGTTTTAAAGTTAACCAAACATTTTTTAGGTCACCGCTTAAGTCTAACCAAACGACAAAAGCCACCACAACCTCATAACTTGTCAATAAACGGGGAATCTCCCCATATTCAGTCTTTTTCAAACTCTGTTCCGTCGATGGGGCAACATGACAGCCCAAAGGTACAGACGAGCAATGTCAATATTCTTAAATTTCCTTATATTCGCACTAGAAATACTATTACAAAAAAAACGGCAGATGTAACTACTTCCAACTCTGTTACCAGAAAAGTTAAAAGGAGACGCAATAGTGAAACTTCTAGTGACGAAGAACGATGGCTTAATGCCATAGAAACCGGAAAATTAGACGATGTTGATGAGGAAATGAAGAAAATGAAAGACCCGAAACTGATGACAGCTCGTCAGCGTGCCATGTACGATACTGACACAAATGGGTTTGTTGAAGAGCTAATTTCACTTCCAAGTGGTTACAAAGAAAAGGAAAAGCCGCAAACGGCGGAGGAAATCCATAGAGCTGTTCTTAAATCTCAGAAACGGAAACAGCAAGCTGACGAACGTCGAGAAAAAGATAAAAAAAAAACGATGGAGCGCTTGTTAAAAAAACAGGAAAGCAACAAACAGCGCTTATTGACTCGCAACAAGCATTCACAAAAATCATCATATCCTAAAATTACCTATATAAGTGCCATAAATGGTAATTATATAGTTGTACCACCAGGTCACGAGTTCTTTCTTAAGGCACAAATACCTCTCACACCGCCCCGCTCACAATTATGCTCTGTTAGCGGTTGTGGAAATCGAAAGGCATACAACTGTTCAACTACAAAACTGCCCCTATGCAGTCTTACATGTTATCGTAAAAATATTTCACACAGTTTTAACCAATAAATAAAAGTCAACTCAAGCGCAAATAATTTTAATATTGATTTACAAAAAAATTGTTTATTATTTCGTTTTGATCAGATTCGATTCGCTGCATATATTGCAACTCGATCTTTAAACGTTCTAGTTCTACCGTTTTCTCAAAAATTTCGTTCCGAAAAACTTGATGCTCACTCTGTCGCTGATAAGATATGGTTTTTAGGTGATTCTGGGTGCCAATACCGAGTAGCTTTTCTTTATCGACATCTTTTGCAAACAATTTAGATACTTTACAAAAATTATAAGCTAACTTTTTAAAAATTTTAAGATTTTTTGAATATTTTAAGCACTCTTGTTTAACTTTTATTTTATTTCCGATTAGGACAGGGTTTTCAACACGCAGTCTATAGATATCATCTATAAAAAGTCCAACTTTGTGAAGCTCCTCCATGTTAGGGCCAATGTGAAGTGAACTTTTTTTAACCAATATTTGTTCTGTTATGTTATAGCTAACGTTGCCATTGACAACTTGTATAGCACTGGTCTACAAATTTTAGTTATTAGTTTTGTCTTTTCTAATAAAACGAAGAATTTTTTTAATTTGTTATGGGCGACAGTTCGGTTAACCAATTGTTTGGCTTTTATCCATCCCCTGCAGAGGATATAAAAAATCCAGTCAATCTTTCGAACGCAGTGAAGGAAACGTTTTCGACTCTATACCGAAAAGTCCAAACACCCGATCAGTTTCGAATTTCCGGGATCCACGTATTTTGGGGTCCTGTTTACGAGAAAAATAGGTCAAAATTTACAAGACCGATCTCTTGGAAAGGCTTTACTTGCTAAAAGCCCCAGCGCCCGATCATTTTCAAATTTTCAGGATCCCTGTATTTTGGAGTCCTGATTACGAATAAATAGGTCAAAGTGCAACATATATATGCATCGCGTGATTTTTGTTTAAAAAAATGGTTTGCCTACAGCCATTCTTTTCCCATCATTAATTTCTTCCCCAATGGAAGGTATTGCACCATATCTGCAAAATAAGCCATAACAAACAGAAAATAATACCAAAAACTAAACATTAAAAAAAAAAACTACCGACAACCTGTGCTACTGAATAAATATAATA